GGTATGACCGTATACAGCTTCACGGAACTCTGGATGCTGAATGTCAGACAGTACGTGTAGAGATGCCTTGGTATCTTCAATAACCTCATGGGTAACCTGATGAATAGTGGAGGTTCGAAGACCAGAAGAAACAGATGCCCCATTGATACGATTGTTTCCAGGCTTGCCTCCGTACTTCAGATGGGCCTTGTCGAGAGCCCACGTGCCATAGTACGGAATCCAGTAATTTGTCTCGTTCCAAGAGTATTTGGGCAGGTTGAGCAAAGTGTACGCCTTCTCATTGGCTCTATAGTATTCGTTCCAGTTGGGCGTAATGCCAGCGAGGTGCAGAGTAACCAGCGTTTTGGCGACGGTCGAAATATTGTCCTCGTTCCGTCGGCAAGATGATCCAATTCTCGCCTGTGGGATGAGCTTCTTCACGAAGCCGACACAGACGGGATGAGGACCGACATCGATCCAGATCGTACCGTCATCGACGATTCCAAGATCCCGAGCAGCCTCAACCGCAGCCGCAAACTTGACACAACTCCGAGTCTGACGTCGAAGATAGCCAGCGCCAATTGTCTTTCCATCAAAAACAACAGCCCCAAGCATAGTAGACAGGACGGGAATACTAGGAGCCTTGAAGGGGATTGTCTGGGCCAGAACTTCCAGCTCGTCTACGACAGCGTCCATCTGAGACGTGTGGTAGGCAAACGGAATCTCCAAAGACATGCACTTGAAAGTATTTGCCTCGAGAACCCTGCGGATAGTGTCAATGTCGGCTTTTGAAGCTCCAAGCACAGTATCCGTGTGCGTGTTCTGGCAGGAGACTTCATATCGGATGGCTGCCGTCTCCGCGCCGCTCTTCAACACCCGGTCAATCTCCTCGGGGGCCCCGAGGACCGACAGCATCGCATGGCTATAAGCCTGGCAGCGCTTCTCGGTAATCTGTGCCCGTCGACCGACGAGATATAGGGCATCGGCGGCGGACAGCACACCGGCGACGGCAAGGGCAGCATATTCACCGAGGCTGTGGCCAACAACGGCGCTTGGCTTTACCCCCATATATGCCCAGAATCGAGCGAGGGAAATCTCCAAAACAACAATGCTGAGCTGGCTAATGACGGGGGACAGAACCTCGTCGTCGTCACTGCCTGTGATAGCAGGGACAACGGATGGGAACCCAAGGCGCTGGACGAGCTGGTCAAGCTGCAGGACCTGGTCGCGAAAGTACGGCATCTCGTCGAATAGTTCTTGCCGGATGCCCTTGTAGGAAGCACCCTGGCCAGTAAACGTGAGAACGACCGAGGGTGCGTTTGGCGGGATAGGCTTGGCTTCAGATCCAGCCTTGTTGTCGATGGCAGTGCGCAGGAACTTCTGAAGCCCGGAGACGCTTGAGACGGCCGTCGCAACGCGAAGGTTGTGCTGCATACGTCTTGCGCAAGTGGTGTAGGACAAATCAGCCAGGTCTACGTTGGCGTTCGTATCCAGATAGCCCAGGAGGTTTTGGAGGTTGGCCTGCAGCGATTTCTTGCTTCTGGCTGAAATGACGATCGGGTGTAGAGCACGCCCGTCTGCACTCTCGGGGCTGACACGAGGTCGATATCTCTCGGGGGGGTCTTCGAGAAGAAGCGTCGTATTGCCGCCGTGGGCACCAAAGGAGTTTACCATGGCGATGCGCTTCTTCCCCTCTGGCCGCGGCCACGGCGTCATTTCCATTGCCAGACCGGCGTTTCTGCGATCAAGATCCTTTGGTATCGTAGGATTGATCTGCGTCTTGATGCCAACATGGGGAGGAATGGCACTCTTCTGGAAACTGAGAAGAACCTTGATAAGTGAGGAAATACCGGCAGCGGCTTCGCCGTGGCCAATATTACTTTTCAGAGCCCCGAGAAGGAGCTTCTGATCTGCACGGCGGCGAGGCTTTATAGGGGCGAACACGTCCAGAACGGACTCTGATTCAATGGCATCGCCGGCTTGTGTTCCAGTGCCGTGCATCTCGACAAAGCTGACATCTAGAGGGTTGACCCCGGCTTTCTGGAGAGTTCGTCGATAGTTATCCTTCTGGTGTCCTGCGTGTGGGTGAGTTATTGAGATGGCATCTGCACAGTGATTTGTCGCAGCAGATAGCACAACAGCCAAAATGTTATCATTATCCGCCTCGGCGTCCTCTAACCGCTTCATCACAATAGATCCGATACCCTCAGCCCTGCAGTATCCGTCGGCGTCCTTGTCCCAGACTTTACACTGTCCCGTCTTGGACAAGAAGTGGGCGTTTCCGAGACCTGCATAGTTGTCCGGGTCGGTGATGATGTTTACGCCTCCGGCAATGACAGTATCCGTCTCGCCGGCCCACAGAGCCATGCAGGCCTGGTGAACTGCAGCCATTGAACTGGAACAGGCTGTGTCGACGCAGAAAGATGGGCCGGCAAACTTGAAGAAGTAGTTTATACGGCCGGTGGTGAAGCCTCGAACGCCGCCTGGAACCGCATACGTGCCGATATTCTGCGAGGCATTGAGCTCCCGCCAATCGTCACTTGCCTGGCCATAGAAGGTTCCAATGCGTTCACGGCGAGTCGACGCGGTGCGGCCGGGAACAAGGCCAGCCATCTCCATGGCCTCGTAGGCCGTTGTGAGCGCAAGGCGTTGCATGGGATCTGTTTGCTCAGCCTGTAGATCATTAGCGTCCGGCCGGGCAATACGCCAAATTACTTCATTACATGAACAACATACCTCTCTTGGAGACATTGTGAAGAAACCTGCGTCGAAAAAGCCAGGGCGGTCAATAAAATTCCCGTAGGGGGTAGTCGCCGCGTTCTCGGTATTGCCAGAGGGATCGTAATGAGTCTCCAGATCAAACCGATCAGGAGGAACCGTCGTGTGGACGTCACGGCCCTGCTCGAGCAATTCCCAAAACTGCTCAAGGTCATTCCCTCCGCCAGGCATACGGCACGCCATGCCGACGATGGCAAGCTTGGCATTCCCGGCATTGCTCGCCTGGCGAGTGCCAAAGTCTCGATGAACCCAGCTGACCATGTCATTCTTGACCATTTCCCTGCCGGGAAAGCTACTTTCAAGCGTCTCCAGAATCCCCTTGAAGACTATCGAGGTGCGGAACGTGTCGATCCGCAGCTCTTCAGCGCCGGAAACGGACCCGGCATGGCGGACTATGCCCTCGGTCACATTGTCCAGATAAATCGTTCCCATGATCAGCTCGGCCGCAATCTCTGGCAACAACTCACCAGCCGTCGTGGCCAAGAATGGCTTCCCCGTCTTGGAAGAGATCAGGGGAATCTGCAGCTTCCGCGACGGCGAGACGAGAGAATTCGCACCGTCAATGACGGCATCAATGTCCTCCTGTGCATAGAGATGCTCGGCGTGGCAGAGCCCGTCGTAAACAGGCAGAGGTAGAGACTTGGTGTATCGCAAACTGCTCGAGTGCTGGAAGGCAGCCTTGATCCGGGACGGCGGTCCGCTCAGACTGACGGATGCTTTGTCGGCGGCGCTGATGAAGACCTTTGCGATTTCGGGATTCCCCAGCTCCTTGTTGATTCGCGCTAGCTCCTCGCTGGCGGACTCTTCAGACGTGCCCGTGATGACGTGTGCCCAACTCTCGAGGATGCCGTCTGGCTGAGGCGCTTCCAACTTGCTGCTGAAGTCGGCGACGTGGACGCCGAGCCGGAAGGAGACTCTCAGGCATTCGGCTCCGTTCTTGACCACCTCGGCGAGAGAAGTAGAGAGTGCCACGGCCGCGCCGGAGAAGAGGCCGACGCTGAGACCGGCCAGGACAGTGTGGTCCTTGTGCAGATTGAGTTCTGCGTCCTTTGCTTCGTAGTGTCTGGTCCATGTTAGCTTCAGACTTGTAAGTTGTCGTTCGGGATGGGAGAATGGCCTACCCGATGAACAGGGCGAGTTGAAGGACAATTAGCAACGCGCTTTCCATGGCAGCCCCGAGTCCGAGTTCCCGAAGGTATCCATTTTCTGAGAGTGTTACAATATTGTCAAAGTGAGGTACCTGGCTTCGGACATTGTGGGGGAGTTTTGCAATTTCCTCCTGGAGAACAAGACTGGCCTCGTCCAGAAACGCAGAGAGCGAGCGGAACCGTCGATCCTTGCTGTGCTGGAGGAGTTTGCGGAATAATTCATTCAGGTCGTCGTTGGGGAACTCGTTGCCAAAGTAAACGAGCCTTGGTTGGGAGACGCCCGCCATGGTTGCGAACTTGCGCCTTTGTAAGCTGGGTGAGAAGGAGGCGGCAAAGGGGCTGTTGCTGATCTCCAAGAGAGGATGACAGACTGGTCCGCGTGGCATATATATAGCATCGAGTTGTCTATGCAATCGTGTTGTAGAGCTGCACACGGTTTTTGGGTCCCTGACTCCCTTCAACCTTGCATCACAAACACAAACGGGCATCCTCAGCCGCACACGAACCCCATCGCGGGACGGATTCAACGGCGAGTTCGCAGCATGTTACACGGTAACGGTATTAGCAGCATCGTATGAGCCGCGTAAGAGGTATCTTCCGTCGTTGCGCCGTCTCGGAAACGGCCTGCAAAACCCGATGCCGCCTTCACAGACAAAAGCCGACACACCTGGAGCTGGCTGGCGTAACAACTCCCCCGTAGTGGCCCGAAACAGAATCTTCACCTGGACCAGTTCGCAGAGCCCGAATTCCGCAGAAAATTTGACCGGTCAGCTTCGGCGAGGAATTGCTCCTGCTGATTGTTGGACCGGCCAACACAATGCGCTGAGTCCTGGCCGTGCTAAAGCCGATCATCGAGGTAGTTGGAGAGGATCGATTCCATCGTACCATTTTCTTGTTAAATCACCACATGACGGATATAAAAACCGGTCGAGATGAATGAGTCGGGTATCCATTGCCAGAGGATGGCAAGTGGACGCGGCCAGTCGCAGAGTATAATTGCAAGACGATCCTTTACATGCATTTGCTTGACAATTGTACGTTGTCCATCGTTTCCACTCTCCACTTGAAGAAGAATTTGTCTCGACAGTTTCCGCAATGAGCGCACCTTTGGAGCCGATACCTCTCCCTGAAGCACCTCTCAGTGTCATCAACTGGGGTCGACTCAAGTGCAATGATGCTGGTGAGAGAGACAAGCTTCTCTCGGCGTGTGAGGGCCAAGGTTTCTTCTATCTAGATCTGAGCTGCGACGAGACCTTCTTGAAGGATTGGCAAGCCGTCCTTGACTTTATGGCAAAATACTTTCATCAGGATGTAGCTGAGAAAATGAAGGATGATCGCCAGAGCGACACCCACGGGTACGTTGTGAAACCACGAGAGAGCGTCGGTAATAACCTGCCACTCACCTTGGGGAATAGTTACGAGCCAGTCGCAACCTCAACGGGCGCAGATGGAAACCACCTCGACTACTACGAGTCCCTCAAGGTATGATCATGTCACCCCAAGCGCAACTGAATATCCTATCAACCAGCGCCCAGGCCTCCAGAGACGAATTACTAGGACAAGATAGCGCCCTCGCGCCCTCCATCAAGGAAAACCACAACCTCTTCCTGCGCTTCACCAACGCCGCGCAGCACGTATGCATGAGCATCCTCGGCCACCTAGACATTTGTCTCAACACCAACCAGTCCTCCAAGCTGGTCGACTTTCACCGACCAGGCAAAGAATCCCTCACAACGCTCTCCATGTTCCGCTACCCCAAGCAGGACTCCCTCGCCCTCGGCGTCGGCCACAACAAGCACACCGACATCGGCACCCTGACCTTCCTCCTCTGCCAGCAATGGGGACTCCAGGTGCTGTCCAAAGAGCCCGCCGGATGGCGATTCGTCGCCCCCAAGCCGCGCCACGCCATCATCAATGTCGGCGATACTCTGCGCTTCCTCTCTGGCAACCGCCTCCGCTCGGCCGTCCACAAGGTCATTCCCACGCGGGGGCTGCAGCACGAGGACCGGTACAGCATTGCCTACTTCCTCAGAGCGGAGAATCACATCCAGTTCACCGACAGCACGGGGCGGCACGTCTCGGCGAAGCAGTGGCACGACGAAAAGTTTGACGTGTTTAGGGAGACGCACGAGGAGCAGGACAAGATGCCCATCCTGACGGGGGGGATGGAGCGCATGGAGAGTATTGTGGTGTGAGGCGGTGAGGGCGGATATAGCTGGCGTGTAGAGGGATATTTGGTCCGTTGGGATGAGAAACGTTTGTTGCAGTTTGTAGCTCTTGCCGGTGCTGAATAGAAGGTATTCACTGGGTTACACGTCAACTTGCCGAATCATACTATTTGCAGTTGCATGACAGAATGTCACAGTTGTAAACTTGGAGACGAGCAGCTTGTTCCAACGGCCGTTGACGTTGCTGCAACTCTGATGTGGAGGCTAAGCTTGGCGGATGCAGATGGCGTTTAAAATATAGTTTGTACAAGAATATATCTGCCTATCAAGAAGTATACATGGATATCGTATAATATAAAGCGCAGTATTGAATATCTGATCGAGGCAAATACTCTCGTCTCCCACTGTATTTACATATGTATATATACATATGTATATATATATTAAAGTTTGAATTGTATCGCTCATTAGTCCAGTGAAACTACAAGAATGATATCAATTGATATATATATGTATATATATATTCCCCACCCACACCCAGCTACGCCCTTGTCACAAAACAGCTCCCAAAAAGCTCGTCCAACCGACGAACCGCCTCGTCCCCAATCTGATAGTGCACGACGAGCCGTCTCCCCATAATCTTCAGCCCCAACGCCTCACCCTTCTTCACAAAATCCCCCTCGCTCACCCCCGCCGCCTCGAGATCCAGCCAAACCATGTTCGTCTCAACCGGATACACCAGCCCGCCTCCATATCCCTCCCACAAACCCGCAATCCGCCTCGCCCGCTCATGCGCCCACCGCAGCTTGCCTCCCAAAAAGGTCTCTTCCACAGCGACCCTCGCCGCCGCACACACAACGCCCGCCTGCCGCATCCCCCCGCCAATCGACTTGCGCAGCCACCTCGCCCGCTCGCGAAAGGCCTCGCTCCCAACCACCACCGAGCCGACAGGCGCCCCCAGGCCCTTGGAGAAGCAGAGGCTCACGCTGTCAAAGCACGCGCAGTAGTCGCGCAGCGATCCCGCCCCGGCGGCCACCGCCTCCCACAGCCGCGCCCCGTCGAGGTGCAGCAGCACGCCGTGCCCTCGCGCCCACTGGCTGATGCGGCGGCACTCGGAGAGCGGCATCACCACGCCTCCCAGCGGACACTCCAGCGACACCAGCCGCGTCGGGCAGTCCGTCACGAGGGTGCCCCTGTTCAGCTTGGCCGCGAGGTCCTCCACCGTCAGGTACAGCCCGTTTGCTGGCTCGACCGTCTGCACCATGGCGCCGCAGAGGCTCGCGATGCCCCCGGCTTCGTGGGTGACGATGTGGCTCCTGTGGTCGCAGAGGACGCTGTGCGGCGGGGCTTGGAGGTGCGTCCTGATGCTGACGAGGTTTCCCATGGTGCCGCTGACGACGAACAGGCCTGCCTGCTTGCCGGTGAGTTGCGCGACTCGCGACTCGAGCCCCAGCGTCGTGGGGTCCTGTCGAAAGTCGTCGTCGAGGAGGGTCGTGGCCGCGATGGCGTCGAGCATTCGGGCTGTGGGCGTGGTCATAATGTCGCCTGCGCATGGGTAATCAGCCATCAATGTTGCATCTGGTGTTTCTCGGGGACACGGGCGAGGGGGGACGCCAACATACTGCGCAGGTCGAATGCTGCCGGCCCCGGGTGCTGCCAGTTATTTTCCTTGACTGGAGCTTCTTTCGGTGGCCCGTTTGACGTCCCGTTACATAGATCTCCATGGGGTCCGTCTTGGCCAACGTCTTCGATGGATGTGATCATGGTGACCACTGGCGGTGTTGGCTTACGGCTGTAACCCTCAAGTGCTGCTTCGTACTCGAATTCGGTCGCTGGAAAGCAGTCCACGACAAAACATAAAGTATGCTGCAGATAGACATGCCTCCCCAGTCTTTGAATATACTCGGTCTTTTGTCTCGTTTGACGATCAAATTCCGAGGGCAGCCTTGGTCGCAAGTCAGCCCATTCACTCGGACGTCGGGTTTTGATGTTGGAATCAAAACCCATCAGGCGGCTCCTATGGCCGCCGGGTCAGACGGTGCAACATTTCATCAAAGGCATTTTCTCACAAAGCCTTGTCTTGTTGAAACTGTCCCAATTTGGAAGTGGGCGGCTCTTTCGACCAGCAACCGGACCGGAGAAACTCATCAGAGTTCTGGTCCCAGTGTCAGCGAAAACATGTCATGAGAGAATTCTCGTCATTTTATACATGTAATTTTGATCAAGTTTGGAACAAGTTGCCGGATAGAAAGGATAGTCGGGCGAGGCATTATTGGAAGTTACGCGCCACAAACTTGAGAGGCTTGGGGAACAAGTACATAGTCCGATAACAGACAGCATATTGAGACTATGTAATACTTTTTCTTCTTCAAGTAAACTAAACCGCATAAGGTCTGTGCTATAGCCATCAACACATCGCCTCTGCAGGTGGCAAAGGCCAGAGTTGATGCCGTCACCTCCATCCCGCGCCACAAAACAATCACATGCTGCACACCCCAATTCTCTCCCCGGTCAAATCTCCCGTGAGGCAATATGCCGTGATATCGTCGAGGTGAATTCCCCATATACGCAAAGGATGAATCTCGAATAATCTGGCGCAAGCCAGCATGCGAATACTATTCACCGTCGTCCAACTGTTGACGGCTACCCTATGACACCATGTCTGCCCAGATCGCCGAGAACATCTGTCCCGACGGTTGTTCTCATAACAAAATCCGGGCGGACATCGAGATTGACCAGCACTACACCTACAAGATCTACACGCCTGGAAGTCTGATCGCCGGCCATGTGACGATTTCAACACCATCCGACGTTTTATTCCACAACATCGACATCTTATTCGTGGGCAGCGCCGCAACCCGAAACTTCGTCCAGCCAGATCCCGTATGCGCAACAAGGCCATTTCTGAAGCTATGCATGCCGATAGACGACGCTTCCTTTCCATCAGGCCATCTCTTCAAAGCCAGCAAGATGTACACGATCCCCTTTCATTTCGTGGTGCCCGCTCAGTTGCTCTTGGGCTCGTGTCGACACCGTTGCAAGAACGCGGCAGTCCAAGAACGTCATTTACGACTACCTCCTTCCATGGGATTCTGCCCAGGTGACGACCAGAGCCCTGATGGGGCGAGGGTTGTGTACAGCATCATCGCCGTTGGTACAAGAGATGTGCTGGAACCGCCTATACCCGTGCGCCTATTCACAGCGTACAAGACGATCCGGATTCTTCCAATAAGTCCTGAAGATGCGCCGCTCGACATCACAACCGACAATCGTCGATATGTACTTTCCAAGGCACAGTGTCTTTGGAAGACCTTCTTCACGGGGCGTGAAGGTATATTGACAGCATCGGCTTCACAACCCAAGGCTGTTATGCTGTCGCCAGACGAGACAGGGGCATCATGGTCCTTGGTGCGACTCAAGTTGGTCTTCGCACCTGCTTCGTCGCTCTACACGCCTCCGCGCATAAAGTCAGTATCGGGAAAGATTATTGCCACAACCTTTTTTAATATTTCGCCTCTCAATCGCCTTCCCAGTGTCGAAACCTGGGACAGAGGCGAGGATCAACCGTTCCAACATACAACGGGCCACAAACTATTTGACGAGCAGGCCGAGGGACTCGTTTGGACCAAGGATGCTGATACCGCGGAGTTGGAGGGACGGCGTGCATCATATCCTCTGGACCCTTCCCACTCGCTCAACCGACCTCATGAGACCTTGACTCGCAACCGCACCAACGAGGATGGCGGCGCCAGACCGTCAATGTGCTTCACATCGGCCATGGACATACAGTTCAGCATTCCCAGCGACAAGAGTGTCTTCTTCCCACCGTCGTTTGATTCATGCCTCATCTCCCGGGTCTATTCCTTACGGCTCAGTATTTCCCTTGGAGCTGCCCACACGAGCCTTGTTCTCAAACTGCCTCTCCAGATTGGTGTCCAGGGCGCAATCCCCCATGCTTTTCGAGCCGGAGAGGGTGGCAACGAGTCGGAAAGGATGAGGGCTGCAGCGTGTTACAACGTACTGCCCGAGTACAGCTCAATATTCTGATCAATGCGAGTTGTTACGTCATAATGAGGCATGGGTGGTGTCTCCATCTTGCTCATGTATAGACCATAACAAGTGTCGACAAACATTTTCAAATCAGAAGCAGTCCAAATGACCATCTCTGACTCATAAAAAGGACTTGGACGGCAGACAACGGCCCCGTGACATGTCAATTTTACTCCAAATGGCATCGTTTAGGCCCTACTCGAGCACTTGGATACCCCAATGCCTGACGCAGATGTATGCAGCCTGTTTGGCTAGGAACTGCATCAGGGAGGTGGGTATTCTCGATTTATACATCTCCTCGGAAATCAACACTAGCAGTGTTAAATGGAATGAATCTGGTCAACCAGAGTAGCGCTTCCTGCGCCAGACACAAACCTCAGCAGTCAACGCCGCTGGGTGGCAACCAGTGGATGAATCTCGGTCGGTATCGGGCTTCGGGATTCCTGCACCTTGGCGGAAAAGATTCAGAGATCTGAGGAAACGGGCCGGTATGGCCCTCTTTTCTCCTCATCTTAATCGGCTTCAAACCGCGTGAATGACGCCACGGTACCAATATTGGCTGCTGACAACCACATGCATCCGCTTAACAGAAGAAGTACCGCATTCAAAGTCCCCTCAAAGGTTGTATTGCATCCTTTTTTTCAAGTGTTTGTCTTGGAGGCTTAGTGCTGCTGAAGATGGCTCTGGACCAAAAGCTGGGATTTAGGTTACACGGCTTGACGTCGAGAATCATGGCGCCACGGGTGTAACATTAGGGAAATGGTTCATAAGGCCTTGACTCCCTCGACAAAAAAAACCGAAATACTTGAAGGAAATGATGCTTATAATATTTCATGTCGCTCTGTTGACAATATGCGGCACTTGCTCTACAACTCTGTCGCCGCGGGCCGCCGACCGATGGCGAGTTTCGGGATTCAAGCTGCGGCGATGTGGAGACCATCGCCGACGATCCGGCCGATATCCTCCGCAGCTCGAAACTCCTCAAGCAGTCGCAAGATAGTCGCTGGCGTCCCGGCCGTTCTTGCCTTAATATGTGCTGGTGGCTTGACATACTCGATTTTTCGTCGAGATAGCAGTTTGGGTCTCTTTGGGAGAAGTAACGCATCTGGGGGAAATCCCGTACGTGATTCGCCTTAAGGGATCAAATTATCTCCGGCCAAATCCCCGCGCTTGTTGACATATATTCAGGCTTCCTCTCCGACGGATGTGTTCCCTAGCGTCGAATACTATAAGTCACTTGATGAGCAAACAGACGTTGACAAGCTTCCAGTAGAGGAAGCCCGACTAACAACGGCCCCCAACGTCCCACCAGTCATCACGCGCAAGCATCCCGTGCTTCTCCGGGTGCCCTTGCAAACCATCACCTCCCTTTCCCAAGTGACGAATCAGTACAAGTACGAAGAGTGGACGTTCAACGGCACTACACCAGGTCCCTTCATCCGAGCACGAGTCGGCGACGTGGTAGAGCTGTCCCTGACGAACTGCGACGTGACCGGGAATCCGCATAACATCGACAGCCATGCATTCGCCGGCCCGGGTGGCGGATCGGCGCTCACCACGGCAGAAGAAAACGAAACAAAAACTGGCCGATTCAAGCTCCTTTGTCCGGGGCTATACATCTATCACTGCGCCGCGGCGCCGGTACCCGTCCACATAGCCAACGGCATGTACGGGCTCATGTACGTCCAGCCGGAAGATCAGGACTTGCCCCCCGTTGACAGGGAGTACTATGTCATGCAAAGCGAGATATATCACGAGCCGCCAGAGCTCGATGACGATGGGCGTCCTCTGAATGTTGTGGAGTTTTCGTACCCCAGAGGGCTGCGGGAGGAGCCAAACGCAATCGTTTTCAACGGCAAAGAGTCTGCCCTCACGAGAGACGCGCCGCTCAAGGCCAGGGTCGGCGAGACGGTACGCATCTTCTTTGGCAACGCCGGACCAAATCTCACCAGTGCCTTCCACGTCATCGGCAGCCACTTCCTGAACTGCTACCGTGACGGCGATGTGATGAGCCCTCCCGCGCGGTTCGTCGGCACGACAAGCGTGCCGCCCGGTGGTACGAGCATTGTGGACATGAAGATGGTTGTCCCGGGCAGTTATACAATTGTTGACCATGCCATTTTTCGCATAGACAAAGGTGCTGTGGGGTTCATCAATGTTTCCGGCCCGCAAAGACCGGATATCTATGTGGGAAATCTGCCTCCCCAACCTTGTGTTGGTTGTAAGTTACATGCTTGATAAGGAAGGTCATCGCGTATGCATGTAAAGGAGTTTCACACTCTGTCATAGACGTGGGCATGAGACTGGCACGTATTCGTTCCCGGGCGTAACGGAGCATAAAAACTGTAAACTGTGCCACTATAGTTTGCGGTATATACTAGAATGGGCAATTGTTGTAGTAATTGCAATACAGAGTGGTGCCTAAATGTTGAATGATGTCTTGAATGCTAGGCGCAACGTGGGATCTTTATGACGCGTTTCAGAGAGCGAATCTTCCTACGACATGCCGCTGGCAATGTCAAGGTGATGTTGGCACAGTGAACGTCTGTATTTGAAATATGTTAGCTGGCGGGCTACAATAATTTGCAAAGGCTGCAATTGAAGTGCCTCCATGGGTGTAGCCCGCCTCATGAATGCTGGCAATCGCTTGCGACGGCTGTCAGTTACCATGAATACAACTTCGGTGCGGATTCGAAGACCTCTGGTGCCAGTGTAGGCTTAAATCGTAAACCAAAAGCTGGGACCGCGAGGCTTCATGACGAAGCATGTGTGTACTCCGTTAGGACTCTGTTCCTGAAACATATCGAACAGGACGGGACATGATAGCTTGCATTACATAGAGTAATGTGCATCTGTTGCAATTGCTCACCAACGGCCAGCGTATTCGATTTATGAGCTACCAAGACTCTTAGGGCTATGTCAGGGTTCAGTCAGCGGATTCAAGAGAGCCTGCCTGGGGTGCCATTGCAAACTTACTTCTTGCTAGCGGAAACATCTCTAGCAATCCATGTGATGGGCCAGATGTCCCAACCTATTTTGTTTATTATGCGGCATTTCCCTTCTTTCATTGTCTGCTTCAAACATATGGGATAGTAACCACCATGGCGATAGAGTCAAATCTTCATGGTCGTTGATAGAAGTAGGCCAACGGTGGCATGGAAAGCCAACCGCGTTCCATACCCGAACCATGCGGTAACAGCAGTCGCGGAACGACAACAGTCAAGATGCATATTTTGGTGCCAGAGTTGGAGGTTTAGAACTCGAAGCTGCAGAATAGTTCAACAGCTTGCAGCAAAATCGTTGACGAGCTCAGAACGGATGAGTTATAGTGTTTTAGATGGAGCTCGTGGCTAAGAGATGGACCGGGGGGGAAGGGAATCGGCAGGAACTGGAAGCTGGCCACTTGATGGCAGCTGCAATTCAAGCGGCAGCCGGAACGAACCGCACTTGACCCAATGAGCATCACAGCTCACCGAGTCATCGACGACCTGAAGACAGAGGAAGGTACGGAGTATTCAGGTCCCGAAGATCCGCGCCTGGGCGAGAAGAGTCCTCGAACTCGCGGAGCTGTCGGCTGACTCTACCAGGCGGAAGTTGCATTCGCGCATCAGGGGTTCCTCTGACAGTTCGACTCTCCGCCTCTTCGCCTTACTGTCGGCCCTAATCCCAAATCCACGACTGAGTTCCCGCAGCCAGGTGGACTGCGTAGAAGTAGCGGTTCCAGGGCCTATCTGGGATAAGATCGATGGAAACGGCGAAAACGACAATATGAGGCACGCGAATCAAAGGGTGTAGCCCACATCTCACGGCTCTTATTTGCCGTCATTTCGTCCGCAGGAGAACCCGGCCGCTGTGGCTGGATAAAATTCAATAACCAGACGCCTTGCGCAGGTGGATCTAGGTGGACATCCAAGGACACTTGAACCAGCCCTACCCGTAACGTCCCGCAACATTCAACCCTTGGCAACAGAAGTTTGCACCAACCAGGGCAAAGGCGCTTGCAATATTCGGTAATGCCCAATGTACGGAGTAGACGCCCAGAGCGAGCGTTTGGTAAACGACAAGGCGCGTCTCCTTGCGGGTAACTAGCTCTCGAAGGACGGTTACTTCGCAAAGTCTGGGCCCTGGGATAGACCGCGCTCCACTTGTCAGATCACAATATTAGACAATTTTACCTATCAATATGCAGTCAGCCTCTCGGCTGGATAAGAGGCTTGCGTCAATTGGTGGCCCAGGGGCCAGCAACAATAAAATGAGATATTTGGTCCCAGACGGCGAGATCGCGGCTGAACATCCATTAGTTGAGAAGAGGGATTTTTTTCTCTTCCTCCTCTTCCACCATCTTTGAGAATTCTTCATAATGTCCAGCAAAACCAGTACTACCCACTGGCGAAGCAAAGACCTCTGACGTGTTTGCACACAGCTTCTGCACGCCGTACAACGCAACCTCAGCCAAAGATGCTTCGGAGAGCCCGAACTTCTGCAGCTCAGGCCGATGATTTGCATACATATCCCTTGGACTGGCCTCAATCACAGCGCTGGAATCCAGACTATAACGTCCCACGCAACTCTCTCGAGGATGATGACAGCCTCGCACAGTCTTCAACATTATCATCAACTCAGCCCAAGGGGAAGACAGTATATACGGAAGCCACAGTAAGAAGGGAAGATGGCCAGCATAGTACTGCAGTGCATGCCCAGAGCCGTCATCAGGCGGCTGGTCTGGGATCTCAGCTACCGGACTTATCTCACTGGCTTAAAACACTTTCGGAAATTTACATGAATAATCTGGAAAACCGTGCGCGTTGGGATCCCCGCTGGTTGAGCATTACCCGACGTGAGCGGCACGAAGGCCTTGCATCTAGCACAATTACCATCCTAGACTACATGAACGACGAATCGGTACCTCTAAAAACAACTACTACAGAAATAGCTCAATTATGTGTTGCTTTGCAGGAAAGACCGGAAGCATGCGCGGTTCGAGTCTTGATGGTGAA